AGTAGATCTACAATAACACCAATTAAGTGGTGATATTCAGTTCTTTTGTATCCTCGCTTACCGGTGGTATCAATACTTGAGAGAAAAATGTTGAAGTCTCCAATTACAATTGTGAATTTGTCTATTTCTCCTTTCAGTTAAGTCAATTTTCTCTTCATGTATTTTGAAGCACTGTCATTAGGTGCTTACATAGTTAAGATTCTTATGTCTTCTTCACAAATATATTCTATCACAATGTGATATTCATCTTTATCCCTGGTAACTTTCTTTTCTCTGAAATCTACTTTAACTGGTGTTAGTATAAGCACTCCAGCTTTTTAAAATTAATGTTTATATATTTGTATCTAACCTTTTACTTTCAACCTACCTATGTCGTTATATTTGAAGTGTGTTTATTGTAAAGGGATATCTACAATAAAAATAAAGTTGAGTCATTTTAAAAACTCAGACTAATAATCTCTGCTTTTTTAATTATTGTGTTTAGACATTTTACATTTAATATAACTCTTATGTTTGGATTTATGTCTGCCATTTTATTATTTGATTTCTATTTATTTCCTGTTTTTTGTTCCTCTGTTTTTCTTTTCCCTTCTTTTGGGTTACTTAAACATTTTTTATTATTCCTTTTTTAAAAGTTTTATTGTAGTAAGAACACTTAAAAAGAGATTTATCCTCTAAACAAATTTTAAGTGTAAAATATATTATTCTTGACTATAGGTACAATTTTGTTCAGTAGAGCTTATTCATCTTAAAGATACCATATCCCTGTTGATTAATAACTCCCCATTTTCCCTGGCCTCCAGCCCATTCCAGTACCACCATTACAGTCTTGATTTTATGAATTTGACTATTTTAGATACCTCATACAAGTGAGCCATGCAGTATTTTTTTTTTCTGTTTCTTGCTTATTTCACTTAGCATAATGTCCTCAAGGTACACCCATGTTGTGATGTATTGCAGAAATTCCTTCCTTTACTGGCTGAATGGCATTCCATTGTCTATTATGTTTTAACAATATTTGTGGGTTTTTATTTGTTTGTTTTAGTGGTTGCCCAATGGATTAAAACATACTCTTACTGTATGTTCACATTTTATTTAGAATAAATATTTTACCACTTCAACTGGTATGTGGATACCTTAACACTATATAAATTCCCCTACCCTCTTTCCTTTATGTTGTAGTTAACTTATATATTACATCAATCTACATTAAAAATTCTACCAGAAAGTCACCATTTTTTGCTTTCAACAGATTGTATCCTGAATGCTTTAAATATTTTATTACACAACCCTGGGTCTTATTGAAAGACCCATTCTATGAAGAATTTTATTTTTATTTTACCAGGCAATTGAACCACTTGGATTAAGACCCTAAACATTAACAAGCTTTATGGTTTCAATGTCAGTTCTGTTTCATTGCCTTTCAGTTATTTTGGACCTACCCTGTATATACGCCTTCCAATGGCCTATCTGGGACTCAGGAAGTGGTAAATTCTCAAAGTTTATTCTATTTATTTCCTGTTTTTTGTTCCTCTGTTTTTCTTTTCCCTTCTTTTGGGTTACTTAAACATTTTTTATTATTCCTTTTTTAAAAAGTTTTATTGTAGTAAGAACACTTAACAAGAGATTTATCCTCTTAACAAATTTTAAGTGTAAAATATATTATTCTTGACTATAGGTACAATTTTGTTCAGTAGAGCTTATTCATCTTAAAGATACCATATCCCTGTTGATTAATAACTCCCCATTTTCCCTGGCCTCCAGCCCATTCCAGTACCACCCTTACAGTCTTGATTTTATGAATTTGACTATTTTAGATACCTCATACAAGTGAGCCATGCAGTATTTTTTTTTTCTGTTTCTTGCTTATTTCACTTAGCATAATGTCCTCAAGGTACACCCATGTTGTGATGTATTGCAGAAATTCCTTCCTTTACTGGCTGAAT